TAGAGCAAATATTTTGTTTGTCTAAAACTATGTGCAAAAGGAAATAATATAGAAATTATTGTTATTTCTTACATTAATTTCATAGGTTGGGATCCAGAACAGAAGGAAAAAATGCGTTAATTGATTTCGAAGAAATGATTATATAGTGAATGTTTTTTCAACCATCTGTATTGATTATGCATTTTGTATTGAACCAACCGTGAATCGAGACAATTTTGATTAAATGAAGTTTACTGCGTATTAAAGGTGGTCAATTTATGTCTGTATGCTTTCAAGTATTTACTGACCACTTAACTGTTAAAATGGATTAAGTTTAACAAAACTTTCTCGATGAAAAATTTTCTACATACAAAATTGCAGAATGCGTCTCCATAGAAAGCTAAAGGAGCACGTATAGTTCTATTGAATAGAATGAATATCCATATTCAAGCGATGAGAGCTAAGGTGAAAGGTTACGATACGAAGCTTATTCGTGCCTTTCGATAGGCAGATTGTATTCGAATTCTCAATAATTTTTCGTTTCCCATTTAAAAAAAGGTATCACGTTCGTTTTTGTGCTCTTTCTCATGGACGCTTTTGGTTGAAACATGATTAATTTACCAGAAATAAATATGATTAACGATCTGTTTAATCCTTTGAGGACGAAATTTTTTCTTAATCTAAAAGTAGTTCTTCAATCATTTTATTTTATTTGGCTCAAAATGATTGTATAAAAGTCTTGTGACAATCAAAAAAAGTTTTTCTCACCTTTTAAACAAAATAGTAATTTGTAAGTATAACATTTGATGTTGGATCTAACTTCTACTTCTTTTGTATTGCAGGAAGCGCATCTGTTTCGTTTTTCTTTCACAGGCATATACATTTCATAACCAAAATAAAGAACAAATTATGATGATGCTAGTTTAGACCTCGTTTCACGAGGGAACCTTTCCAACTGTCAAATCGCTTTTTTCAACGAAAGCTACCCAGTTAAAGGTTATCGACTATGCTAATTCCGAATATGAGCATGAGAAATCCCCTTAGACCTTGGTTAGGTGGTTTTATAGAAAACCAGTTTTCCAGAATACCAAACACTTTATGAAATGTTGTTTTTTTTCTACTGAGATTATAGAGCCGATCAAATTGTCTATGAATCAACATTTTCCCTTTTTTACCACAATGAGCTCTAGAAAAATAACATAAACTTTTATATTTTTATATCTAAATGTTGTAGTATGCATACGTTATACGGATTCAAATGGCTCTATTTCTTAGAAAAACTCGATCTGAAAAAGAAAACAGCTATTGTTTTACAGATAATTTGATCTGCTCTATAATCACAGCAGAAAAAAACAACATTTCATAAAGTATTTAGTATTCTGGAAAACTGGTTTTCTAGAAAATCACCTAACCAAGTTCTAATGGGATTTCTCATACTTATATTTGGAATCAGCATATTCGATAGGGATGGGTGTGAGTGTAGGGTGTGGGGTGTGGATTTGTTTGTGGGTTAGCGTACTCTCTATCTCTTCATCTACACCCACCCACACCCGCTCGGAATGATATTTGATTCTTTTATTCGAAGTTTTTTAAAGAAAATGGCTTAGAGTGGGGTCTGCTGAGTCGAGAATTTTAAACTCTATTGATTGATAATAAATTCGAATTAACTGGGGGTTGGAGTGGGGTAGAGCGTATTTTACTAATACTCCATTTTGATCAGCTACCATATGATTACCCATGTACATCAATTACTTGTTTTCAATATATACTATGAAGGGTGTGTGTGTTGGCTGTATGTTTGCTTCACTCGTACCCACACCCACAACCATAGAAAAAGAAATCGAAGACCAGTGCCGTACTCAAGACACATTGAATTGTCGTACTTTTTATGAAAGAATGCTTATCATTCCAAACAGGGGAACCTTTTGCTTATGATCACGTTCTTTTCACGCATAAAATTGTGTTTTTCTGATGCTTCAAAACTACACACACAAATTAGAAATGCATGGTTTTTCTTGTTCCATAAATGGACGACCCTTTTGAATGGTTCCTTTTGACATTGAGAATATGCATGGATTATCTATACGACAATGGCCACTGTAGCTGAACAACAATATTTTCCTATTCTTCACCTAAAGAAAAACATCTTGTTAGCGCAGTCCCTTTGGGATCGAAATGTGAAACTCACATATATCCTCTAGCCTCATTAAACAAATACAAAATACCTAATATGAAAAGTCTCTTGTAGACTATAGTTGTTTTGCAGGATAATCGAACATAAGAGTAAAACCTTCTCTAATTTCTGCATTTCGAGCAGAACTCTTTTATTTTTTTCTTCGAGTGCCCTATTTCCTTTTTCTTTTACATTTTGGCATTCGCTCATTCTTTTTCTTTTTTTTTCTTTTTGTCAAGTTAACATTCTTATTGTGATAATCAGTGAATTAATTGACAAATAAGTCTGTTTTACACACCCATGATGTCTACAGCAGATTTTAATCACTATTTTATATATATTAAGCAACTTACAAACAATAGTATTCATTATTTTTCAAAAACATAGCTTGATCAACTTTGCAAAAATCTCTAGAAAGTCTGACGCCTCCTATTCTCAATTCTTAAAGTCTGCAATGGGGGAGAGGAAGATCTGTAATAGGGGCTTCTGTTGCTTAGTGTCTGTAATGAAGAGGTGAGGAGGAGGGGAGCCGTGAAACGAGAACTTAAAACTTACACTGACTATTTTCTTCGACAATATATATGAGTTCCACAAAAGAAATGATTTTTACTCATTCTGTTTTTCCTTTACCAGCCATACTACTCACATCGAGAAACGATAAAAATACGTCCTGTTTGTTCACACAACGGCTTTTTGTGTTTTTTCTTTCATTCTGCCGAGTTCTTTCAGACAGATAAGTATTTGACAAGCCTCAAAGCGAAGCTTGCATAGTCAAGGAATTGAGCTGCACAGCATTTGTTTGCTTTCTGTTTTTTCAGTAGTATGGAGCAAAATGATTGTAAGTAGTTATGAGAGCGAGCAAGACATCGATTCAACGCTCGCTCAAGGATGAGAAAGTTGTGTTATTTTATTGAGAAAATGAGAGTGTGAACATCAGATAAACTCTCCCATCAAGAAGTTGTCGGCTCCTATCATTCAGTCTGCATTTTTGCCACGACTACAATTTACACAACACTGCAGATAAGTGACTACTTATAATGAATATGAAACATACACTCGATGTCGTTCAACTTCTAGATCACGATTTTATTTATTTTCTCTCATCATCAACCAATTGTTACGGCAGTAAACATCACGAACGTAGAACTCTCGTGTGAGTAAAGCGCCAAAAAATCGATACGTTAACGATTGCATTAGTTGTAAGATGCTTTTTTCGTGATTGTTTATTGAATTCTTGCGATGGATAAGCCGAGATCAATTTCCAAATTCATTTTAACATTTTTCTATCGATAAAAAATATCAAATTACATCATGTTTTGTAAACCAGTATTGTGGAGTTTTCTACTAGGTTTATACAGAATTCAAACATAACCTGAATGAAATAAAACCAAAAGCAATCAGAAATGCATCGTAGGCAATCGAACCCAACTGAGAGAACAATAAGTTTTTGAATGCATTCAGGGCTTCATTCGCAGATTATAGTCTTCAATCAAGTCGTGTTCGTCATACCTTAATGTGCGAACCATAATTTTACATCGCAAGTCGAAATTTGGCTTTAAAATGTCGCAAGTTTTGAATGAAACTTTTTCTATATCAAAAGATAGACTTAATTGGGTTTAGATATACGATGAATGTAAAACAAAAATATGCCAGGAGATTCGATCAGTTTCAGAAAACACTATTCACAAACTACATTGTCAGTTCAGCTGCGACTTTCATGTAGAAACTGATAAGTGTGAATTCGAAGATGCAAACATATTGATTCATTGCAAATTTCACCTTCATACAAATCCTAAGTGAAGATTCATGTACTCTTTTCTCCTGTCTCCAGCTACATAACTCATTTGTCGAAGTTTTCATATTTGTTCCGTTGAGAGATTTTCAGTCTTATTAAACGTGCACCTGACCGCAATAACACAAAAGTATCCTATCGTGAGAGATGTAGTTGGTTTATCTCTTGATCTAATTGTACAAGACTGAAAATTTTTCATTTAGGTAGTACCTCCGGGATCTGCTACATCGAAGAAAATGTCATCATCTTCTAAAAGAGAACTTGATTGCAATGGTAATGCTTGTTCTACGTGTGGTCATTGTCGTGACTGGAAGCACAATGGTCGTAATTGGTATCGTACTCCAGATGCCAGTTGTGATGATTATCGTTATTGGCATTATGTAATTTATCGTCATTCTCCTGCTTTTCAACGTGGTATTGGTGATCGTCTTATTTCTCATTATTTTCATCGTGGTCCTGGTGGTGGTGTTGCTATTTTTGACAGCCCGACTCATGTTGGCTATCATAATTTATGTGAGTGCAGAAAGTGACCGTGGGTGTGGGGTGCAGGGTGTGGGTGTGGATACAGGCGAAGCAAAGACAGCCCACGCACACGTACACGTGCGGGTGTGGGTGTGGGTGTGGGTGTGGGTGTGGGTGTGGGGTGTGGGTG